CTACTCCCACTACTGTGAGGTTCTTTGAAGATAGTGACTATATCTCATTGACTACTGTTAACTCCAGCACCTAAAGCCCTGCCTGCCATCAGGTGGGTGATCGATTACACGGTGCGGACTCTGGGGGCAGGACCGTATAGTGGTAGTTGGAAAGTCCTCCGGGTCATTCCAGTGTACAGCCAAGGGTGGGAATAGGTAAGGGATCATCATCAGACGATGGGCCTGGCGTGCGGACGGGTGAGGACTGCCAGGCTAGTTAGTGGATATCTGCCTCTCGATATCCGGATATCCTCTCTGCAGAGGAGCCAAGGACCCCGGGGTAGGGCAGGGAGGGGACGGGGGAGGCTTCGCAGAAAAGGAACGGCCAGGAGGGAGTCCCACCTGGGACTGTGCCGGGCAGAAGAGTGGAAGACGCTCATTCCAGATAGAAGGGACAAGCAAGGGCTGGGGTACGAAAGTGCAGAGCTGTTCGGGAGGCCACTGGAGTCTTAACAGGCAGAGGGTCGGACAGGTACGTTGAGGGAAGAACCTGCCCACGAGCAGGTGATGTGGCTAAAGAGAGTGGGTGGAAAAGCCAACTTCCAGGACAGGGGAATGATAAACCGATGGTCGGTACATCCTCATCCAGGGACAATTCTACTCAGCAATAAAAAAAAAAAACAAATGGCCGATGTGCCTGGCAATACAAGAGAATGTCAAAAACGTTATGCGTGGAAGAAGCCAGACAAAAAGAACAGACTGTTTGATGCCATTTATACGAAGTCGGAAACAGGCAAAACTAATCTATAGAGATCAAATCACTAGTCATTTGGGGCCAGATGAACTGGAAAGGGGCAGGAGCGAACCAGCTCAGGCGATGGAAATGTTCTGTGTCTTGACTGTGGGGGTGGTTACACATTTGTCAAAACTCATCTGCCTGTACACTTCAAACAGGCGAATTTTATTGTGTTTAAATTATACTCCTATAAAATTGTGTTTGAAGGCTTTGTGTGTTTTTTTAAGTGGGCTGTGGTCACATTGTGAGCGACCTCAAACGTCATGCTAAGAAGTTTGGGTTTAATCCAGGAAATAATGGAAGGCTTGTTAGCCAAAGTTTTTGTTGTTTTTTTTTTTCAGTTTGCTTTGGTTTGGCTCGGTAGCAAGTAAAAATCCGATTTAAGACCAGATGAAGCAAAAGACGGGGGTTCTCTGAAGGGTCCTGGGACAACTCACAAAATTCAAGGAAGACTTGGGGCCGGAAGCCTGAGAATCCTTCTCTCAGCTTCGTCTCCCAATAGCCCCATGTCCTAGCCCTGGTGTTTCCCCCGTAGCTGAGGACACCATGATCAGAGAAGCAAAGCGACTTGTCTAGGGACACACAGCCAACGAGCGATTATGCCAGGCTTGGAACCCAGCTCATTCTGATACCAGTGCCTGTGTCTTGACCACCAGACCTGGAGGAACAGGGAAGAGTTTACTCAAAAAGGCGTCTAGGAGAAACAGAGCCAAGCAGATGGAAGGAGAATGGAAAGGGGGGGAAGGGGCGCAGAGCATGGCGAGAAACCCCACTCAGAGTCAGGAGTAGCTGACAGGCCAAGGGACTGAGAAGTGATCGAGGGGAACTCCGAACTGCAGATGGCCTGAATCCCGAGGGACAGAGACAGGGTGGCTTTCCAAGAAGCTGGGACCGCTTCTCCAGATCTGAGACAGTCCTGAGCTTGCGTCTCAGCCCCACTAGCCTTGGGTCGTCTCATAAGTTCTCTGAGTCCGTTTCCTCAAACGCAAAAGCAGTTGATGATGCCTGCAGGCGTCACTGAAATTAGAGACGCCGCATCAGAGTGCTTCTCCCGGTACCCGGAACTGAGCAACTGCAGTGATTATCAGTTATTAGTAAATAAATAGATAAGATACTAGGCAGGGCTATGAGGACTGTGATAATATTTTGTGCTTGTGATAATAATATTCAGTGCTTTCTGCCTCCTTGCCCAGCCTGCTCACCCCATCAAGCATTTTCTCTTCTTCTGCCAGGAAGGAGGGTAGAGGAACACCATCCCTCAGAAACGTGACAGTTCCTGGAATGAGTGAGTGAGTGGAGAAGAGTGAGGGACTGAGAGTGAAAGCCCTGGGGTTTGTAAGGGCAGTTTGGGTCCTCAAAGCCAAGGCTGTACGAGGACACATCATTTGAGCTCTTTCAGGCACGGGGTCATCAACAGTGGGCTTGTGCCTAGATGAAATAAAAGATAGCCTGTTTGTGGGCACCCGGGTGGCCAGCCAGTTAAGCATCCAACTCTTGATTTTGGCTCAGGTCATGATCTCACGGTTCGTGAGTTCAAGCCACTACTTAGGAGTCTCTCTCTGCTCTGCCCTCGCTTGAGCAAGGTCATGCTATCTCTCTCTCTCTCTCTCTCTCTCTCTCTCAAAATAAACTAACTTAAATATATATATGGTCCATTTGTTGGGATTTGATATCTACATCTGATACCTACATTTGATATCTACACTGATATCTACCTCTCTCCTCCCAATCTGCACTATGGAATTTTATCATAGGAGCCTCATTTCTTTTTCTTGAGAGTCTTGGCTCTGTGGGAACGCAGTCCCGTCTCACTTGGCTGCTGAACCATCGCAGAAACTTCGGTGACATTGACATTGAGTTTCTCATCCCTTCCCCCAAGGGAGAAGTGAGGATGGGGGCAGAGGGTGCGTCCCTGAGTGGAGGGGCTCACATCATTGTGTGCCAGAAGCTGCCCAAGGGCTTCAGCTACATCATCCTACTCAACTGCTCACAACAACCCCAAGGCTATAGGTGTGGTCAGCTCCATTTCACAGGTGAGGATGCGGACGCTCAGGGGAGATAATGCCCCTTAATCAGGGTCACACGGCCAGGAAGTGGTAAAGTGAGGATTCCTGGGGCGCCTGGGTGGCTCAGTCGGTTGAGCATCCGACTTCGGCTCAGGTCACGATCTCGCAGTCCGTGAGTTCGAGCCCCGCGCCGGGCTCTGGGCTGATGGCTCAGAGCCTGGAGCCTGCTTCCGATTCTGTGTCTCCCTCTCTCTCTGCCCCTCCCCCGTTCATGCTCTCTCTCTGTCTCAAAAATAAATAAATGTTAAAAAAAAATTAAAAAAAAAAAGTGAGGATTCCTACCCAGAAGCCCCTGCTCTTCCTACTGTGTCCCTTCTGGGGGGGCGGGAAGCAGGGAGACAGGGACTTTTTACAGTCCCGGTGACCTGAGGCAGCTCAAGGCCTGAGTTCATCACTGAGGCAGCCAAGGCCCACCACACTTTAGAAAGTTCTGCAGGTCTCCCATCAGGGTCTCCAAGGTGGCTACACAGGCCGTGAAAATCTCCAGGATGAGCAGTAGGGCTTGCAATCCTAAAGGCAGAAACTTTAACTTCACCCATGCCCCTGCCAGCAGCCCTGAAGCCAGGAGTAGGGCTGCTGAGGCCCCGGCTGGAGGGGGTGGGGGGGAAGCGCACCTGGTCTCTCAGCACAGCCCCCTCCCAACCCCAAGAACAGTCCCTGGGCAAAGCTCAGCCCCTTCTCAACCCCAGAGACTGTCCCTCCCTAGAATCTTTAGACTGGAAGCAAAATATGACCCTCCTCCCCGGTGCCTCCCGCCTCCGCCGCCCACACCTCTGTGCCCCTGGCAGGAACTGTGCCCGGGGTCAGGACAGCTGGCAGTCCATGTGCTTCCACCCCCGCTTTCTCCCTGTTCCCAACTCCCAGGTTAAGACACAGGGGTGGGAGGAGGCCGAGCTGGGGTGGGGGGACCTTAGCGGGGAAGGGGGGCATGGATATAAAGAGCCCCGGGGGATCCTGGACAGATGCCCTTCCACTGTGCCGCTCTGCGCCTGCCCAGAATCATGGTAATGTCTGATGGCCAAGTCCGGGACCCCTGTCAGCTGTGCTCTCCAGGAGCTTGGGGACGGAGGCTGGCACCAAGGGCCCTTCCCTAGGCACTAAGGGCATGAAGGAGTGAGGCCAGGGCAGCCCCTTCTGCCAATCTGATGGCCAGAACAGCTGCCAGGGTCTCCTGCCCCTGCTTTGGGCAGGGAGGATGAGGGGCGTGCCTGTCAAGAGAGGGCTGAGGGTCCCAGAGGCCCTGGAAGGTGTGTATTAAGTGAATGGGCATCACAGTCTGTGAGTCACCAGACGTGCGCGTGGGTCGTCAGCACAAAATTCTCCGTGCACAGCTGGGGGCATACGTGGGGATCCCCGGGCGGGCTTTCCAGGATGTGGCCACATTAGGCATTCACGTAACATGTTTTATTGAGCACCTGCGAAGCGTCAGGCACTGTTCCAGGTGCTTGTGCTACATCCGTGAGCAAAACAGGCAAAAGGCCCAGGGGTGATGGTGCTTCCACTGGCCGGGGGCGGGGCGTGCCTCTTGGGAGAGATGAAGACAATTTTTAAAAGCACAGAATATAAAGGTTAAAGGTGAAATGGAGGGGGAAAGTAGAACCAGATGAAGGGATGGACTGCAATTGTAAACAGGGGTAGGACCCATTTAGGAGGTTGATTTTGAGCTGATGCCCGAGGCGGGGAGGAAGTTGGCCCTGCGGACCCCTGGAGGAC